AGGCAAACTCCAGAGAAAATCAACCCTGTAGGGCAGACTCTCTGGAGTTCATGAAAACGGCTTAAATAACAAGGGTTACTCTGCCTGTATGTCCAACCCATGGTTGTTTTCAGTTATTGATCCAAAAATATCACAAATATATTTTTTTAAATACATTGATTAAAAGGGTGATAACAATGAATAATTCTTACCATAGTCCTCCCTAACAATAAATTGTGATGTACGTTCTGCTTTAGCAAACTTAATCCCACCTGCAAAGCTCTGATGGCCTCAGATGTTTCTAGGGTTAAGGGGCAATTTTTGGCACAACATCAGACCCATTTAAAATTGCTAAAAATAGCACTGCGGGATATGATTCAGAGGTCTCAACTCAGGGTATACACTTGTGCACTTGAAAACATTAGTTACTTAGCACTTGAAAAAGTGCTTAAAAAAGTCTCCACGGTAAAAAAGGACTGGGCTGGGAGCAGGATTTGGTTGCTGGGGCTGTAGAAGTACCACCCCTCCTCAGCCCCTTTTTTTCCATTGCAGGAATTTCTGTGTGGAGTGCCTTTCCCTTGGGTCTGTCAGGAACAGTGTGTGCCTGTGGCCGGTAATTGATAATGCAGCCCAGGCAGCCCTAGCCCTGGTCAGTGGAGCGTGAACCAGCTTGAGAGGCAGAAAGCCTGAAGTGTACCGAGGTGAAGCTCAGCCCTCACACTCTCTGTCTGGTGTATGAGAGAGGGGGAGGAGGAGGGGAGGGCAGGACGTGAGAGCCAAGGGATGGAGGCCGAACAACACCCATTCACACTGAAAGGATTAAAAGAGCCCCTTCATTGGTTTACATTTTAATTTTGGGCAATTATCTGACACTCAAATTGAAAATACTTACCCTCATGAAAACAGCAGAACTTTTTTCCCACAAAACATTCTTAGCAACTCAAGTAATGTCAAGGTCAGGGGCTGTTCTCCTCACAGGACTCCAGGGGCTGGGTAGTGCTTATGCAAGAGTGAAGTGTGAAAAGAAGGAAAAATAAATGAAATAACCGCTAAGGAGTCTTTTTTTTTTTAAAGTGTCATTTAGCTGAGAGAGGGTGCCATTTGCTGCCGTCTGAATAGAGGAGTCATTCAGAAAGATGGTGAGTGGAGACCAGGTGGAGCGATGACTAGGGCTTAGCAGCGAACAGGCCCAGACCCAAGAGGCCATTAGGCAAAATCTACAGTTTGGGCTTGTGTGGGGTTGTATTTATGCCTGCAGACATGTGGGTGGAGAATTTCTTTCCAGCAATGTAATCAAGCGCCGAGCCTTTGAACTTCGTATGAGGCACCATGGAATCAGTTTTTAATCAAACATGCTTGTGTGTTCACAAATTGGTTTGATTTGAGAAAATTTCCATCCTTTAACTTAAAATGTCATCCTAGAACCTTGGAAGGGTTTGTGATTATACAGTAGATTAGTTCCCAAAAGCAATTAGAAGCCATTTTTTATTTTTATTTTCATTTTCAGTTATAACTATTTCATCATAGATTGAAATATTTATGCTGAGGATCAACTTACTCATTAAAGAGCTTAGATGTCTAAATGATGAGATTTAAAGTTTCATCACAGTTTAATACTCAAAATCTGCAAGAAATACAAGAAATCAGATTGTGATTCAACTGTGGCTAAATCCTGACTGGTGCATGAAAGACTGAGCCTCAGTCACTTCAAACTGTCAAGTACAGAGGAAAATCCTTCAAAAAAGAAATCTCTGAAGTGCAATAACTAAAACTGCTCCAAACTCTGGCAGAAAACCCATTCATTCATGCCGAGAATCTGATTAGCTTAGCATGGCCACTGAAAGGATTACAGTAGCTATAGCACCTCAATCTTGATTGTCAGGGATCCCAGTGATTCCCAGATAAGTGTGCGATGATTTGAACTGTGTCGATTTTCTGCCATTGAGTTGGAGCTCACACGAGGCCTGAACCACCAGTCCTGCCCAGCTGGCGCTGTCTGTGACATTTAGTAGCTTGTCAGTGTTTCCAAGTTTATACATATTAACACAACAAATCTGTGTAGATTAAAGATGAAAAGTACAGTTATAACTCAACCATTCATCAGTGGAGGGTTTCGAGAAGGAAACTCAGGGTTTTATTCGGTGGAGCTCGGACATGTTAAGTCAATGTTAAGAAAATGAAAGAGATTGTCATAGATATTAGGGAAAAAAAGACAACGATTCCTTCCACCGGGATAGAGGGTGAATTAGTTGAGCGGGTCTCAACTTACAAATATTTGGGAGATGAAATTGACCATGTTGTCATGAGGATGTACTTTCACAGGAAACTGAATCATTTTAGAGTAGACCATTGCATCCTCCAGATGTTCTACAAAGCTGTACTCCAGAGCATTCTGTCTTTTGCCCTGGTCTGCACCATTGGAAATAAGCATTCTCAAGATCAAGCCAAACTGCAGGGCATGATTAAGACACCAGGCGGGATCATTGGGGTCGATGACCTTATCTCCACCTCAAACTCAGAGGGAGTAGCAGGTCAAACAGCAGAAATCGGCAACAGAAGTCATTTGTTCCTACAGCAATCAGACTGACTGTGAGATACATATTATATGTAATATTGGATGTGGAATGTTGAGATGAACATATAGATTGTATATTATGCTGCTGTATGTGGTATATTCTGACTGCACTTTCAGATTGTATATCTTACTGGAGGCACTCTCTTTTATATTGTTGGTTGGTCCATTGCTTAGGATATGTGTGTGTGGGTGTGTGCATGTATGGTGTGCCTCTGTATATTAACTGAGACCTGTAGCACCACATGAATTGCCCCTTGTGGGATAATAAAGTTTACCTTGACCTTGAGCTGCTGCGCTAGATGCAGGTTTTTATAGAACCTAAGTAAGATTACACGATTAAATAAGGTGTGTTGATACCAACACCTTCATTTAATCCTCCCGTCTAACTGACATTTAAAGATGTCAAATCACACACACACACACACACACACACACACACACACACACACACACACACAGAGTTTTATGTTGGATGATGTCTGCCTTCTGTCCAAAAACACAATCTCTTAGTGGCATGTGGAGAGTGAAGAGGAGCAGGGCTGATGGAGGGATGACAGTGCAGAGGACAGAAATGATGGAACGAACAGGGGACTGCAGAGTATCTGGGTTAATTGACAGCCCGTGTGTGTGCAGTCAGGTGCACTGGGGCAGAAAGATGAAACAGACTGTGCAGCTGGGCCAAAACAATCACAACACTATATCAATTTGATTTCAAAGGGTTATGTGGCATGTCGTTCATGGGAACTCTTGCATGTTTTGTCACGACCTTTGAGAAGTTAACTTGTGGTAAGAGACATCGGGTGGTTATTTTATTGCAAATCCACAAACTTAGTCTGCTTGTGCCCGGGAAGTTTCTGTTTAATTGGTTGCTAGCTAACTTCATCCTGCTGGCAGTTAAGTAATTCCCTGGCTCAGTATGACATCATTGACACTGACATCAGCAGTGAAGTGTACCAAGTGGGATGTCATGATAAATTAGGTGAAAATATTTATGTAAAAAAATTCCCCGTGCTGGCTGCCTGCTGCTAGACCACATATTTTAATACATTTGGGCATTTTTGTCATGTTACTTGTAGATAGGCAAATCACATAAACATCTTCTATTAAGCTGTTTTTCCAACACATATTCCAAAAGCTAATTTTCATCTGGCCCCGGTACGAGAGCAATGTCATGCAACCCACTCTGTGCTTTTCTGAGTAATACATTTCTGTTGCACTGTGTGTGAAGCTATTAACATGACTGCTGAAAATTTAGTTAGACAATGCAGCAACAGAACATCAGTAAATAAAGTTAGTTGATTTCTATCCTGTTTTAATGAAAGTTGGAAAAAACTATGACAGTCATTGTTAAGCGTTGATTATCACAGCAGCTCTTCTTCTGAGCCAGTGAAGGGTCCACAATTTGCACAGAGGGGCCAATTATATGTCCGACATCCATGTACAGTTCCTTATTCAGTAAGATGCACATTTAAGTCATTCCTTGTTTTCAATTAGCTTTATAGCTTTGAGCAAAGCCACTTAGCACTGAATATATTTTTACTTCAAGAAAAGTTAAGACAATAAAAATTCTTAACAAATTCTCATAATTATTGCTAGTATGTTCTAAGCAATTAGTTTATTTTTTCTGAAAAAGGGGCTACTGACAGGATAGGCAATCGCCACCCCACCACCCCCACCCCTCCTGGATCAGCCCTTGTTTTGAGCAAGAAAAAGGACCCCACTCGTCTAGCAACTAATCATGTTTTTAGATTTTGTGAGACAGTGTGTGAAAACAGGCAGTCCTGAAAAAAATACTTTTTCATAATTCAAAAATTGCTTTGAAACAGTTTTAACTGAATACAACGAACCCCTTGGGTGCCACACTTACTTCCGCTTTCTGCCTAGGTTGCCAGAATTAATCAGTGCCACACCAGACTACATCCAACACGACTGGTTGCCGGACTTATGCCAGGCTCAAGTCCACACCCTGAAATCTTAGCCAAATCTGGTAGCCATATCTTGGCCAAAGCTGACTTGTATTTGGTCCTGTGGTGCCAGAATATGGCAGACTGTGACTCTAATCAGCCTTGACTCAGCTGGCTACCTGGGTACTCATGAAAGGGGCAGTTCTACTGTGTAAACTTGGATTGTGTGCAGAGTACGGACAGATAGTAGTGATGATTTGAGGGCCATCATGGGATTATATAAAAGTGTATAACTTTTTAAATACATACTTATGTCTTATGTAACTTATGCCATTATTTTACTCTATGAATTAAGCTTTTATTAGCTTTCATGGCTCTTGATGGAACAGAATATAGCATGTTTAGGGGACAGATATATGTGAGTGTGTGCAATTTGTTGCAGATCCAAATAAAAACAGAGTGGCTGACGTATGAACCCTACTGGATACATTTATTGTTTTACAGATTAATTTATTTTGTTTTACTCTTTCTGTGCCCCACAGCTCCCTCCATAGTTCCGATCATGCACCAGATCAGCTCCACCATGAACAGCTTCACGCTGTCATGGCCCCAACCTGAGCAGCCTAATGGCATCATTCTGGACTATGAACTGCGTTACTATGAGAAGGTAAGCTCAGTGTGTGTGTGTGTGTGTGTGTGTGTGTGTAAATATTATGTATATATTTGCACATGAGAATTTGTATGTGGATCTACAATGGCACACAGTCGCTCAGGTATGTCACCTCCACACATGTACTTGCACAGTAAACTTTATTTGAAGCTCCCTAATTCTCGGCTCTACCAGATATCTGAGTCCCCTGGGCTGATAATATGTTCTTTGACCGTGGTCAGTCTGTCTCTCCCACTGTTCTTTGGTTTCTGCTGCTGCTGAAGTGAATGGGCTGACCTCTGCTCCAGGCCCACTCTGCACAGTGCAGCAACCTGTCCTGCTGTGAAAATGCATTGCGTCTGGGGGGAGTCACATCGACCCGTCTGCTCGCACACAATAAGTCTGCTTTATTAAGTCCCCATCCCTACCCCTGAGTGCCTATGCTGCTCCAGTATTGACCTGTAGGCTTTCCCAAGGCCTTGGACATAATGATACAGAGAGATCGGGGACTCTAGCTTTTTGTTTGGGCCCTTGTTTGTCCTCCTAAAGCTGATCGATAGGTATAGCAAGGTTGGTCATGCGCATTTTTTTTACCCCTCGGTCTGTGTCATCTTAAGCTTAAGACTTTTGTGAGACTTGGTACACCTCGGCCCATGCTACGCGTTCCAACTGAAAGATAAAAATCAATAGAGTTTTATAAATGTTTTTCTTCTTCTCTTATTTATTTCACACAAACTCATTCTGGCTAAGGTTCCCGGATCGATATTCACAACCCTGCCTAAGAATAGAGGCTGTCACATTTAGCATTTTCTAATAGAGAGGACAACAAACATGTTTTTTAAATGATGTTTGCGGTTGGAAAGTTATCCAGTTGCTCGCTGTTTCCCCTCTGGCATTGCACAGGTCATGAAATTGAATCCGATTGCCATGGCCCTGAGAAACCTTATCTGCCAGACAGCTTAGTGTCGTGTAAATAACACTTATGCAGCCTCCCATTAGCTCATGAATATCAATGAAACCTAATCCTATTGATGTTTATGTAGCGTGTCCTCACACAAATAGATGAGCACAGCGTAATCACAAATTAGTGAATTAACAAGGACAAGATTGTTAATTGCACTGGGGATAATTCAGGAGACAGGGAGGTTGTGTGCAACTCCGTCTACCTTGGTGTTGATGCACCTTCCTGCCCCCCCCCTGTCAGTGTATCTGTCGAGGAGTAAGACACAGAAGGGGAGTCAGAGTGATTGCTTTGTGACACACTGGGCTGGGGAGATGAAGTTTCCACTTTGGTGGTCTTTTTTTGAAATTCCATTTTGGATCTGACGAGGCTCTAAACAGACTTTTCCTCAGCCAGCCGCTGCTGCCCAAAGCTTTATTTTATGATTTAGTCCCCATTCCCAGAAGACAAGAACATTTTTCCTCAATTTGGCAGATATAATGTAGTGAAAAGTTCGAGTGAAATCTCCATACCTGTTAAAATTTACTATGCATCGTGACAAGTTCACATAAGTTTTCAGTGTGCACAGTCTGGCTTGGGTAAACGTGCATAATGTATGTTGCAGCATAAGGAGAAGGAGGCAATTTAACTGCGTACCATCTAGGTCAGTCCTGCCAGCTCCCCCTCAGTCCATGAAAAGTCCAGAAAATCTGAAAGCTCCACGCTGCCGTAAAGTGATGATGCAGCTTTTTCATCATCAAAGACGCTCACGGAGGAGGGACTGGCACCATGTCGGTCACACACTCCCGTGCACACTCAGTGCCGTGGGTAACATATATAGTATAATGCAATCATAGAACTCTGTCTTTTTTTTCTATAAAAACGTCAAAGCTTTACTCGCCTTCTTTTATATGCATCTCACTGATGCCTGAATTAATCTGAGCATAGTCACACCATTATGGTTCTGGAGTTGATTGTCTCAGCGTTCCTGGCACAGTCAGCCCGTCCTTAGCACAGCAGAGAGCTGTCTTTCTATACACTCCATCTCACAGGATGCCTCCTATACCCATTTACAACAGCCGCTTCTCCAGCAGCGCACCATTGTCACACTTTGAATTAAGTAAAACCTCAGGGTGATCACACAAAGACAAAAACACAAGCTGTCATCTTCTTTCACTATCTTGTCATAATGCTATGTTTTGCCTGTATTTAATTCTTGGAGGCAAGCTTGAATTTTTAAGTAAGTCATTTCAAAAATGTTTTTCTGTTTAGACTGTTGTTATATTTTTGTATATTTATCTTTTGGCACGGTTGCCAGTATTTGACGGTTCACAGTTGAATAAAACAGGGAGTGAGTGCAAGATGACTTTGGCTGAAGGTCCCTAGATGGCTTCAAAGTTGGGACACAGTGCTTACATGGTATATGACCTTAACTGCTGCGCCACCAGAATGCATTATGGGATCAGCAGACGTACTGACATTATGCTGCACAACCGTATCACGCAAGTTAAGGTAGAACAATATAAACAGTGATCTTTAAACTACTCATTTGATCCAATAAGACCTTTATTGAATATAAGTAAAATATATTATATTTATATAAAATATAATTAAAGGTGGGTGATAATCCACAATGTTAATTATAATTATCTGTTGCTAGTGTTTATACTGTGGTTACACTACTGTCAAATACAAACCTATGTACAGAAGGTTATAGATGAACCAAAGAGAAAATTAAAACATATTTAATTAGAATTTAACTTTACAAGTAAATACTGTGGGTCGAATAAATACATGTTTTATGTTTTGCTATGTTAGTAATGCCATGCTCTTAGTAGACATTATAATCAAGACCGTTGTGAAGATATGTTTTGATTTTTTAAAATCCAAAAAATTAAACCCCAATCTTCCATCATGCTTCATATATATTGACATGATGGAAAAAGAAATGCATTTTGAAAATCCTACCTGAAAGCTGTAGCTGAGAGCTGAAGGCTTTTCCCTCAACAAGCTTCTCTTCCTTCTTCACCCACCCTCTCATTACAGAGTAAGTGCTCCCAGGACCCTGTAAATTGGGAAGCAAGATGAAATGAGTTTAAGGCTTGCAGAGAAAAAGTCGGACACCTCACGCTCATTCTCTCCATTTTCCTCAGACCCTTTTCCTCAGGATGGCTGAAAATTTGGGGAGGGTGGAAATAACTCAGCATAGCGGAGGTCAGGCCCTCCATTAAGGCTCGAGCGGAGCAGCCACTGGCTCTGGTTACTGATGGCTCTGTGGGTGTTGGTGTCAGAGAGCGCATGTGCGTGTGCGAGTTTGAGTCAGTGTTTGTGTGGAAGTGTCAGCAGCAGTTCAGGTGTATCCACTCTGGATGACAGCAGCACCGTTGAGCCGCGATGAGGAATGAGGAATTCAGGAGCAAAAACACGTTTACAGCACACTGACAGAATCGCCAACAGAATGACCACAGCACCATCTGCATTTTTGGCACCATGAAGTCACCCGTGTATTTTACATACAATTAGCATTCCTCAGAAGAGACGCCGGGAGAAAGTATTTATTATTCTTTTCTTCACCGCCTGCCAGCGTTCAGAGCCAAACACAACACTTCTCTAGACACACATGGATGTTGAGCAGACTTTTAATGATTTTTAATGGAACCTGTGAAAATCATGACTTGTTTAGCTCGCCCTCGTTCTCTCGGAAAGAGAATTCACATTTCCACCTTCAGACTCTGTTCTTCTTCTCTCAGAACGGAACACATTCAAAGGCCCCTTTCAGACCTGGTATTAACGTCCGTCTCGAGTGATCCAATCACAGTGAGACAGCTCTGAGTAAGTCTGTTCACACCAGCCATTAGAATGTGTCTCCAGTGGCCACTTGTTATCGGATCACACTTGCCCGCTCTGTATGTAAATAAACACATACTTTATTTCTGTTGGCTGAGACCAAATTGTTGTTTTCAGCCAGTCCAACGAGATGGATCCGTTTTCAATGTCAGAAAGTGTTGTGAGCGATCAGATCTCAAATGCATTATTGAATGTGTTCTCACCTGCACTGTGGAGATGTCCACTTCTGATGATACCAGGTCTGAACAGGGCCAGAGTGACGGGAGGTGGCTGCAAAGAAAGAAAAACTATTCAGTTTAATCCTAACCTCTTTACCTCTAAAGTTGAGCATGTGTCTTTGCAGAATCACGACAGAAAGAATATTATCTTTTGTAACAAAAATCATTGTAGTGTCTAAATTCATAAAAACAATTAAGACACTTAATGGTCTTTAATATTAGATTTTATCAGCATTGTATGAGCATACATTTTCTTTATCGTGAGATTAAAATTCATGAGTTTATGGTAATTATTTGCATTTGGTAAAAACCCATCCACTCTGTGAGCATTAAACTGGTCGGCCTATTTCCTCCCCCCTTTTTTTTACCTTAGGCGGTACATTTTAATAATAAGCATTAATGGGAAGGATTTATTTCTTTCATTTCCACTTTACAAACATAATGTGAGAATGTTCTCTCTCATACACTCTTCCCCCCTTTGTGTGTGCGTCTGTTATTTGCATGCACGCATGTGTGTGAGCCTGTGAAGAGGACACATGGTCTCCCAACATGGCTGTCTTTGTGCCAGGTGGCCATGCTGTCCGTTTTGGGTGCTTGGCAGTTTTTGAAACACACATGCAGACGCAAACACACACACAGGCACCTATCAAGGCAATTTAAGTTTATTTTTATAGTGCAATATAGCATTTAATGTATCTGTGGCCTTCACAGCCCGACAACAGTGATGGGGGTTGACTTGAAAAGCTAACTCAAAGAAAACCTTGGGAAATAAGGAGGAACATGGCAGTAAGTGGCAGAGAGGAAATTCAAGAAAGAGCTCTGCTGTGTGCTGGCAGCGCAATGACAATTGTTGGGAAATTGGCAATTACAATAAATAACGTAGCATTTTAATAGGTAAGTACAAGCATAGGACTTCCAGCAATCCAAAAATATGATTTGAATAGCTCCAGTGCTACTGTAGCAAGTCTAGTTCTCAGTCCTTTAAAATGTGGGCCAATAAATAGTTCCAAGTCCAGTATCAGTTTTCAAAGTGGTTCTAGATCTATGCAGAAAGAGGGATGTTGTAGATTATTCTGCAAAGTTTTTAGAGACAGGAGATTCATTAAGCTGCCTGTTGATGTAAATATAAAATATGTGAGTGTTTCTCACCAGCCTTCAGAACATGAAAAGCATCTGTATAAGACAGCATCATTATTATAGGACAACCATTCATGCTAAGTTTGTTTCAGTGATTTTTACTGAATGAGGCAGCAGCTAAACTCCCCACAGTGCCTCCTGTCTGTCACCTCTGGCAAAGGCTTTTGATTGGCTGTTCTACCATCTGCCTTCCCACCTGCATCTCCGTCTTTATTTAGCAAGTTAGGGTGTGGTCCTCCTAATCCCCATTTGACCGGCAGCAGGAGAGGACCTCTCATGGCTGGAAGTCCCTCCTGGCTTGGCCTTTTATTGGCTATCCCCTAACTTGCTGCACTGCCAAATGCCAGCTCATTTCTAAGTGGCAGATGTGGGTCTGTGTGTGTTTGTCTGTGTGTCTCTCACATAATCCCTATTTGACTGGCAGCGTGAAAGGACCATTCCTAGCTGGTGCTCCCTCAAGGGATGCTCCCACATTGGCGGTTTGCCATCTGTCTGCTCACCTGTCCTCCATTCAAACTCAACAGATGGGGGTGTGGTCCTGACTCCTGAGAAATGCAGAGTGACTGATAGCTGGTGAAGGCAAATCCTGACCCCGAGCAGTCCTTGCGCACTCATCCATGTCTTACACCAGATGAATAGGGAACAATGGTCCCAGTTTATCATGGGGCACAAGCCAAAGTTTAAATGTGGAGTTTTAGAGTATTTTTACAAATTGGAGAAATGAAAGATTGCGTGATCCGATGGACCAAAGGACCGTAAAATGATTGAACTCTATATATTACATTCCATTTAAAAACATCTCTTTCCTCTCTGAGACAGAATGAAGCCCTGTTGGTGCGACGCTCTCCCATCCCAAGCCCAGACATTTGTCTTCATCAAGCCCAGAGTGTCCAATAAGAGCTAATGTGATTGCGCACATCATTACGTATGGGAGGGGGGTAGATTTCATAACTGTGTTTACCTCGTGTGCTCAGTGACGGAGCAACTGGAATGATTCAATTACACCAATCAGATCGGATAATGATTTCGATGTGGGTTGCTTCTGCCTCGAGTTTCTTATCGCTTCCTGCCATCGTCCTTCCATCCTCCTCCTTACCTCACTTCCTCAGAGCCTATCTACTTTTCCACTCCACACTGTTGGCAACTCATATTTTTTTATGTGCTATAAGCTGTGGTCCAGCATTAAACAATATGTTTACCAAGCTTAATAACTGCCTCTATTTACACAGTTTCACTGACACAGGGGATTTTGGCCCTTCCCTTTCAACTGCCCTCTCCCTCTCTACAGCATGTCGGCTTCAAGCTATCAGCAGCCTGCAGCAGTGGGTGTAGTGTAGGTGCAGTCTTATTTTCTGGCTGTCATATTCACTCTGGGTTATAGGGAGGTGACAGGCCTAAGTAATTACTGATCCCCCATAGCAGATACCTCCAGCATGCCCCAAACTACATTGCAGCAGAACTGCCTGACTGGCTCTCTAGAGCCTGGAGAGGGACAGAGATACAGGATGTGGAGGGCAGGGTCAAAGTTCCAAATCATACTTTTAAATAAAAGATGGCTACATGTGTGCATTCATACATACATGAACAGATGCAGATATTCATAATTCATATGGGCCTCTATGAGGGTGAAAATCTAATGTTTCAATGACAATGACATAAAAACAAACAGAGATGGGATTTTATTTTCCATTTCCTTGTCATATTTAAAAATCGACCTACTACAAAACAAGAGGATTTAATGTTCAAAATACTTGCAAGTAATTAAACTGCCTCGTAAAACACATCTGAAGAGACAAATATGCAATGATATGACTGCTCAGAAGTGCGGCTCTTTGTAATTTCCAAGAAGTGATTGCCTTTAATTACCATATTGTGTATATGCATGTTTCTGAATGAATGGGAGACAGTGTGTGTTTGTGTGATCGCTGTGTTTTACACTGTGTATGATGGTGCAATGTTTTGTATTGAGGTTAAAACTAAATATGATGTTTAAAAGCATTTCACAATCCTTAAAGGGTCAGTGTGTAAGATTTAGATGAATGATATCGAATGGCTGAAATTGAATATAAAATGATCCTAGTGATGTTTTCACTAGTGTGTGATCATCTAAATGATACAAATTGTTTTATTTACAATACGATGGATCCTTCTATATAAAAAATCTTTATATTTACATTCATCAGGAGCAAATGAAGGTTTCCCCAGGTTCTGTTTCGTGTTTGGAAGGGCAGGGTGAGGTGAGGGGTGTTTACCTGCAACATAACACTTCACCACCAGATTTCACTAAATTCTACACACTGACCCTTTAACTGTACTGTCCTGTCTGTTCTTTATTTATTCTGCAATCTACTCTCATCCGTCCTCTGTCAGTGTTATTCATCAGAAATAAACTACATTTCAAACAACTGTTTTACAACAACTAAAATACACGGCACTAAACTACTTCCCTCCTAATTCGGTTGACATTACCCATACTGGATTCCTGGATGTACAATATTTCACAAGCTTTTTTTGTTTCACTATCGTTTTAGCAGAATTTCTGTGATTTAACACTTCCGCCCCAACAACGTCTTAGTAAGTCAACTCTAACCTGCATCCTGTGTTTGTTGCTCTTTGCAGGACCATGCAGAGATTAACTCCACCATCCTGCGGAGCCAAACTAATACCGCACGTGTGGAGGGCCTCAGGCCGGGTACGGTCTACGTGGTACAGGTGCGGGCACGGACTGTAGCCGGCTTTGGCAAATACAGCAGCAAGATGTGCTTCCAAACCCTCACAGATGGTATGTCTCGCCGAGCCAGGAGAAACAGCTCTCTGCGACTCTCTCTATCTTTCTCTGTCTCGCTTACTCTCTCTCACACACACACACACACACACACACACACACACACATATATATACTAATGCATCCAAACTCTTTCTATCACTCTTGTCTGTCTTTGTATTTGTTATTGCATTATTATTAGTAGTAGGGGAGACAGAAGGGGCGCGTAATGTTTGATTGCACTTTCATTTCCACAGCTAAATTAATTTCTTTCATGGTCAGGTTTGGGTATATGTGTGTGTGTGCTTTGAATTTGTAGAATGCTGAGTGTCTTTTGTTTGTGCAACTAACTGTGCTTGATCCAAAATGCTTAGCTAATTGGTTTTTCACCCGGCCCTTCTGTTGCTGGAGCGCCATCCCAGAATGCATAGCTGTGATTAGTAGTTGATGAGCAAAATTTTTTTTACCATTGGGTGGGGCTCAGATTGTTGGAGAGAGGGAAGGGGCTGAAGAGGAGCCGCAACACCTGTCACACTGGCAAGGTTATGGAACCATGTTCATTAATGTACTGTATGTGCAAGGTGAGTGTGTAGAGGGCCGGCGATGGTGGCTCTGCATATCACTTCCTCTTGAAGCACTTCTAGTTATTGCCAGAGAAGTGTAACGAGTGCAAGCGTGATTCAGCGTGGATGGATGATTCACAGCATGATTCCGTCTGGTGGGATTAAACATTTGACTGGACCTGTAAAGATTTGCCAAAGTGCTGCCTCATTGTGACTTTCTGGACTATGAGCTCGCTTTGCATGTGAGGCCATAGTTCACAATGCTCCAGCGGCAGCGGTGACATTTCCACATTGTGCTACGTTAATGAACATGACGATGAACGAGACGATGATGATCTTGAAGGAGGGCAAGAAGTGAAGGATAACAATAATGATGATGAAGGTGATTATTGTGGCTATGTACCTGTGCATAACAGATGTAGAGGCGCAGTCTCGGCCCCTTTGCTCCCCCTCACGACTTCAAATTATTGCTCCCTCAGTCGCGCTCTCTCACACAAACACTGTTTACGGTTCATCCGCTGGCGCGCCGCCACAGCACAACATTCGTCATGGCAATTAGCAGCAGATGCTAAGGAACTGCTGACAATCACACCCACGCACCACCTCCTGCCACTCTCCTGGTCTCATGAAGGCGCCACCAAGCCTCTGTGCGCCCCCCCGCCGCCGCCACCATGTCTTTTCTCCAAAGATGTAATCCCTTTTGTCCTCCTGTCAGCACGTTTTCATACACCTCCACAAGGTGTCCCTCTGCCAGCTCTGCGCACTCAAACCCTCAAAGTGCAGACTTGATTGACAGATGTGATGAAAAACCAGAGAAGATTGGACCAGTCGGCAAGATGACTGATGTCACAGCCCTCTAAAAGGCTGAGGCTTTAAGGATTAACTGATTGTAATGGGAGCCTATTTACAGGTAGTTGTAAGATTTCTGTCTGTCAGCGAAAAAAAATCACCACTCACATGTGGGTGAATGGGGGAAGATTTATCTGGACCTCTTGCACCAAATATGCATCAAAAGAGAAGAGGGAGACAGTCTGGAAAACTTGAGTGACTGGAACATCAGTCACACACTTTGCTTGAAACATACTTGATGAAAAAGCAAGTTAAGAGTGAGAAATTTCTGTCACATTGAGTTTCCTCATATATCCCACTGCTCTGAAGATGCATTAGTTCTCCCTTTATCACTTTAATCCAATATGGGCCCCATTCTACACGGGAGATTGGATTTAGAAGCTGATTTGCCTGCAGCCTGCAAAATCGTGCATTTCTTTAACCAAAGTGTTTGCTGGTTACAAAGTCGTGGGAAGACAGGGACACACAAACATAACTACGGATTCTGCCGTGTAGTGGTTTTAGGCTGAACCTGCAGCAACCTGCTCTGGTTATGTACATAAAGCATGTTTGAGCTGTGATTGGCAGTGGATGACTTCTTCTTCAACACATAAGAAATAACATTCCAAGGTGCATTTTCTTGTCTGTTCATTTCTGACAGGTATGTCAGACGAGATTGAGAGCCCCACCCCCCCACAACCCTTGCTCTTTCTTACCATCAGCCTTTTGCCTCTCTCTCACTTTCTCTGTCTCTTTCCTTGGTTTATCAAACACAACCTGTCAGCGAGTCTTGCTAAGGCTCACAGGATTTCAGTCACCACCTCTCAGCAGAGAGATCTATATGTTTCCTTTATCCATCAGCACACCCAGTCCAACCATTCTTTTCTGCCTCTTCTTCTTCCTCTCTCTCTCTCTCTCTCTCTCTCTCTCTCTCTCACACACACATACGCAGCTGTAATAAACACAGTCGTGGTTCCTGAGCCTTACCAAAGCCATACTCAATGTCTGTCTGCCTATCTTTCCCTTTGTGTCACACAGATGACTTCAAGTCGGAGCTGAGGGAACAGCTTCCTCTGATCGCGGGGTCGGCTGCGGCAGGGGTCGTCTTCATCGTTTCCCTTGTTGCTATCTCCATCGTGTGCAGCAGGTAAACACATTTCCCCTTCCCTCTCTCTTAATACATGCAGAAACGACTGCAAATGTAAACCTTTTTCTCCTGAAGAGTAGAATAGTAATGACAATATAAACATGTAGAAAAAAAATGGGATGGACATATTAACATGAACACCATTAGTATCCACTATAGCCCATCCTGTTCCAAAGACAGACTGCAGCACTATGAAGAAACATTTCTGTTATGATGTCATGAACCAATTTTAGATTCAAAATCTGATCATTAATGATAATCATATAAAACATTGGATATGATATCTGTTTTGAAATATCTGGAAAATGCATCAAAACTAATCTGTTACACTAAAGTGACTTTGAATCCCCTGGTTAAACTCTTGCTTCGTATGTGAGCTCCTCACGCATCTTCTTGAGTATTAATAGAAATCAATTTGATGGAAAGGAAAGCGAAGTTGCCGTATTTGAAATGGAATATCATATTCCATAGAGAACTCAACAATTACTACTTTGCCCTGTTAATTTACTTAAGTGAAAGCAATTTAATGTCGCCAGCAGTTTGTCACATTGTCACATTCCCTCCTTGCTCCGGTGTAGATATATGAAAGAGAAATTTTCTGCAGTGCTGTGTGCAAATTTGAGCAAGTAAAGTGTTCATCAAACGGGCCGGGCTCTTTTGATGCTGAGGCAGAGGAGACAGATGAAAAGCAGAGAGATCCTATCAAGGTCTAATTAAAAATCAGCTCATTTTCATAAACTTAATTTACCATTGCTAACCCCTCTGCAACTGATTCACTTTTCAGCCACGTCATTTTCAGGCAATACAGAGAACCATGAACAGTAATAAGGTTGTGTTTACACTTCCTCTCATCCTGTTGTACTTCAAGCTCCCTCTCTCTCTTTTTCTCTCAATATTCATTGCTCCCTCAGGAAAAGGGCATACACCAAGGAAGCGGTGTACAGTGACAAGCTGCAACATTACAGCACAGGAAGAGGTGAGTCCACCCTGATACTTGGAGCTCATGTTCGCTCATGCTGGTGATTTGATTTTTTTCTCCATGTTTTGGCTCCAAATGTTGATTTTTGTCCAAATGTCTCTTTTTGACACATGACTCTTCAACTTAATGTGTCAGTAAAGCTCACACATTTTTCACACAACACATTTTATCTAAACTTAAACATATTTGAGACATACAATAGGAGGGAGGGTCTCTTTAACATCGTCTGTATACGTGCATAAATTCTAGGTATAACAAAATTAGTTTGGCAGCCTCCTGAAGACTCAAATTATCAGACCCATCAGTCGAGAGGTTCTTCTAGTCAAGCATTTATTTTTTTTGGTTTTCTTTTGTCAGCATGCAGTGTCTGCAGTCTGGGGACCAAGTTGTCCTCAGAAATGGCTGCAGAGTGAGCGCTCTTCGCTTACACACTGCTCTCCAGGGTAAAATAGACAATAGCTATTGTCGACAAAAAATGCTGTTGCACAGTTTCGATCCGTAGTTAGCATAGTGAATGTTGCTGTCACCTTAAATGTCCCACAGTTCAAAAATCTGGCAGTTCATTAAAGCCTTGCTTGATAGTCTTTGTTTAAAACAAAAAGGGACGAATAGTGAAATATTCATATTCAACAAACATTTCTGATTTGAATTACACATCCTTAGTCATGTCCAGCCTAAAAAATTAGGTCAAGTACTTTTATTCTATTATTAAGTGTAACTGTGGACGTACGATGATTTACAATGAGAAATTCGGAGGCCATTAATTATTTTACGAATCGCCAGTCCCAGCCAGGATTTCGGTATGCTCCAAAAACAATAGCCCCCATCAGCATTAGTATCTATCACCCCAGGTAAAGTTAAAAAAACTTCCACAGTGTTAATATTTAAGAGGTTGTTCTGCTGAGGTGGAGATATGAGCTTTCTGAGCGCTCTCACATATTTTATTTACATTTTCAACTCCATACCTTTTTTTGTCCAGTGCTTTGCAGCTGCTATATCATGTACACTTGAATATGTGACATGTGCGTAATGCGTTTACTTCTATATATGACACTAACGAAAAGGAGGTGAGGTAAAGGAGAAATTATTTCTGGTCTCAGATGTCAATGTATGTAAATGACATTTCCCTTTCTTCACACTGTGACACTGACTGACAGTCATGTCTCAGGGCTTTACGACAGCAGTGATTGAGTCGGGCTTTAAGCACTCCCCTGTTACTGACTGATGACATGAAGGGACCTGGTTGCATACACACACAATCTCAACACTCACACACACACAATCTCAACACTCACACACACACAATCTAAACACACACACACACACAAAAGGGCGTGTCTAAGTTTTGTACCTCAGATGAAAGCCCTATGTTCTGTCGACCCAGCAGTCTGAAAAGGGGCTCACTCGAGGGGATAGAGTTTTGTCGAGGCGAACACAGCGGAGCGTTTCAACACAGTTACTTTGTGTCACAGCTTCAGCAGTGGCAGCTGGGGGCTCATTAAAACTACTGCGGACAGAAGAGTCAGCTTTGTCACTGGCTACCTTTTGAAGAAACAAAATGCAATTAACAGAAGTGGTGAAAATAAACAAAAGATCAGAGACGTTTGCTGCTCTAATCATCAGATACATAATTTGAAATGAAGGGGAAATAAAACTCGATAAGGGATCCTATTCATAGGTTTATTTCTTCAACGTGCACACTGCAAACACTCGTGGATGGAGCAATCCCCCACCCCATGATGCATTGTTGTCTTCTATTCTCTCAAGATTTGACTGACAGTTTGGTAATTACAGTATTCAACGCCACAATAAAAAAGCGCCACTCAGCCAATTGTTTTGGACGAATCTCCAAAAAAATGTGCCACTGGCTTTCACCCAGCTGCTCATTGTTCCAGCTGTTGCCACACGCATGAGGTGGTGTCTCATCGTTTCCAGCCCACCTAATGTGACAGGATGCTGCACATACTGTAAATTCAGTAGTTCTTGCTAAATGGTCGTGGGGCCCCTGAAAGTCAGATCTAATATTTAATATGGATAAAAGAGCCTGGCAATAAAACAAAATGAATAAGAATCTCAAAAATAACTTTCATCAATAGCAATATGACAAAGGTAGAGTAAGGAGGGATAATATCATTGACCAACCTCAGATTTGTAAAATGGTTTCCTGTTTACCATGTGATAATTCGAGTGATACAGGGTTGGGTAACGAAATCTTACACGGCTGGAACCTACCGGACTCAAAATTGTAGCTGTATTTCACGCAAAAGGATTCTGACATCGGGACGTGCAGTAAATGTAAAGCGAGGAACACGACTTAATTGAGCCCCTATCAATGCATGAATACATTTAAAAGCAAAAGGATGCTTCCTGTGCGACTGCTTGCATGACCCCACGTCAACTTCAGATATTAGAGCTTTTTACTGTGTCAAGCACTGAATTATTTAGTGATAATAAAGCTTTTTGTTATGTAATTTTGTTATTTATATTTCATTGACAGTTTTGCACTTATTTATATTTGTATAATATATTATTCATATTTAATTTAAGCATTTTTAGAACTAACATTCATTTTGTTAAATTCAAATTTGCCAGAGCAAGAAAAAAAAAACCATTCATATCGTTTTATGTGTTTTTTTAAAGAAGTATATACTGTCATGAACACACACTTTATTCCCACAAATCAAGTGCTGCTTTTTTTATTGCCAGTATCAGCAGTGCTCATCGTGTTATACACACCTCATTGCATTTGAGAATATATAGTTTTTCTCAGGGTGTCTATTCTCTTTCGCTCTTTCCCATACACCAACAGCCTGTAAACATCAGCTGATTAATAGAGAAACATTTTTGTGGCATGTTGACTGTATGCCCTAATGCTTCTCCGCATATCACTCCCACCACATCTTCAATCTCCATTGTTCGAACTCTGTCACTTTGTTGCTTCAGCTATTGTTTGTGCTTATGCATCTGCTGCTCACACTGAATTAGAATTAGATTAAAAGGCTCATTTAAGGTATAGTTATGGTTAGATGCCAAATATGTGTACATGAAGTAATATTTTCTACTTTACACTTCACAACTCATTCATACATGTGAATTTGAGGACTTAACTAAGACATAAACAGAACTGATGATCGTCTATAGGTTTTATCTTTGCCCTTCATCAAGTATTATAGGTCATACCCTTTATTGCTGATGAGAATTTTATCTTTCACAAAGTGAAGGAACCACAAGGCTGATTAAACCCACACAAACATTTCACTGTCTGTACCAATGTGACTGTTAATCCCATATAAATTTTTGATCCCTTTTGTGATTTCCATATAATAAGCCACACAGTGCGTCTGACAAATGCTTTTCTTACATCAGACGGTGGATAATTAGTTTGTGTTTAGGAAGTAAACTCAGCCCATTATATTCACAGAAAAGATTAGTGTGCATCTTGGACTGACATGAAATGGGAACGTAGTCGCTATAGGCGCACAGTGCCCTGCAACTGCTTATGTTAATTTCTCAAAGTGGATAAGCCTATAAAACATATAATTGCTATCAACTGAAGTTGCTAAATCAGAAATAGTGTCAGGCAAAATAAAAAAGAAGTAATTATGTTGCCTTGGTGAAGGTCCAACATATGAAAGGGTTCCTTTAACTTAAAAAGATGAGCATTTATGAAGGCACTGTGTCACTAACTGCTGTTTGTCTTTAGGCAATATGTGAATTCTGTGTAGCAGGACCAGTAATTTGATTGAACCCATTGCCAGTAATGGATTAATGTTAGAATTACCGCTGCACAGTTGATTTGTGGATACATTAGGGGCATTCAGTACACAAGCAGGGCAGACTAATAGCAGGGTAAATGTTGGACATATGTGACAATAACATGGTTAAGTGCAGTAAAGTTAACTATATTTTGTAATGCCAGTCAACTAAATTCTTAACAGTTTGAGTTATTAGGATTTTATAGCTTAGGGATTTTGTTGACATTTATAATCCAAATTCCCTAAATTACTTAGTTTGCTCATTCAACCATCAAATTTAGAGAGGTATGAAATTATTGCATTTCTTGAATGCCCTTGAGTCATCGCAGCAGCTGTGCTTTGTTTCAAGTAAAAATAGAACTGACATTTGGTCATATTTGCTTCATACACTCAGATGAAGGAATAATGAAATATTAAAGGAGAAATCTATTTTTTACCTGATGGCCATAAAAAGATGAGTCCAGTTAACCAGGTCTGTGCCGGAGGGAGGGAGAGGGATAAACGGTTTGCATTTTAAATTATACATGAAAGTGGGCTCAGAACAGTGAATTAGAAAGTAATGGCTTCATGCAAGTATGTACATGGATGCGTGCTGTGCATATGTGCTTAAGATTTTGAGTGTCAAATTTTTGTTGTTGCACTGTATACACTACCCGCAGAGATTTTTAGTCCCAGCCAGTGGTGCTGCTGAGCGAGCGGCATGGTGACACTTGTCAACAGAATGACTTTATGGAATGCAAAGCTGTAAACCCTCCAATGGATTAACTCAAATCCAATCTGTACAGAATCTCTAATGAGCAATTACATTCACGTATACAGGGTTCAAGACAATTAGTGTGGTAACTAGAATCAGCTTTTAGTCAAGAGCGAGGTGAGGCACCTTGATCCCTCCAAGACCAGACCTTATCCTCCTCCCGTCTCCTGAGACCCCTCCCCCGCTCTGTGTGGCTTATGCAAATGAGCAGGCACAAATTGACTTGATGGAGATGGGTTTATTCCAATCATGGCTGCCAAGGCTTTGACTAAACAGCTCTGAGAAAGAGGGCTGCCCTTGTGTGTCAGTGTAGAAATGATGATTTTACGTCTGTTTACTCGCTGTAATGTCTGTCATGTGGCACTGTGTATTGAATTTGTTTACAAGTGTTTTTTCGGCGGTCTCTCCCTCCCGGTCTGTCGACACACAAAATTTGTCCTCTGTTTACAGACATCTCCAGTCTGTGAACTGAGCTCACCTATCGCAGAACGGCATAAAAAGCTAGTTGATAGCGCAGCGGTTTTATCTCTTTATGAGCTCCTATAGGGAGAGGCTGTGGGGAAATTGGTTCTACAACAATCAAAGAGCAGAGACTGCTGGGGTAAGGGATAAAGGGTAAAAAATCCTTCTACATTTACTCTCTACATACCCTCATCCCTCCTTCTATCCTTTCATCTTTCCCCCTCTGCCTGTCCATATTTTCTCCATTAAAAGTACTGAATAAGAAACCTTCATTTTGTTGTTTGCACTACTTGCAAATGATGTTGGTCCGACAATCATCCAACTATTCTATTTTAAGCATGCAGTATGCATTACTATTCATTTAAAATAACAGTATTGCTCCTTTATGTACCTGAGAAGGACCATAGAGTAAGTTATCATCATTTACAACTGTTGGGATAGTTGTTTGTAGTAATTGTAAGTAATGTTGTGTCACACTACAGACTCTTTTACACAGCCTGTTCAAGGCGGATTTATTCTGCCTTGCCATTCTGAATAAAAAGATAAAAAGACAAGATTGAGGATGCATTGATGTTCTGCCTTAATTCTGTTTAGGGTTAGGTAGTCACAGAGCTAGATCTATGTCTGTGTAAGAGGGAGATCAGCATGGATGCAGACGCAGTTGTACACTGGTTTAGAACTCTGGCTTACGTTCTAAAATCACACACTGGGGTGACATAATGCTGGCTTTCTTCAGTTTACTATAAACAAGCACAGGAGGCATAACAAGGGGTTTCTTAATGGCAATATAGGACCATCTCTGTAAAAGGGTCTCATGATACAAGCAGACATAATTGCATTCAATCAACAGTACTACATGACAGAAGACAAAAAAAGAGCAGTTTCTTCTTCTGGAAAGCTCATTTAGCACTTTGGTTGTTCTAGAACTCTCTTTGCGAGCCGACATGTCTAACTGCCCCTCCCCACTGGGCTGCCCGACCCACTTCTCAGGCTCTCCGGGGATGAAGATCTACATCGACCCCTTTACCTACGAAGACCCCAATGAAGCTGTGCGGGAATTTGCCAAGGAGATTGACGTGTCCACTGTCAAGATTGAGGAAGTTATTGGTGCAGGTACGTAGGATGGATGCAAAGGAAGAATATCTGTGTGTGTGTGTGTGTGCTCATGCGCGTGTGTGCAATGTGAATGAGAATTACAATTGCTATATTTTCATGCATTAGCTCTTAAGTGCTTGTGTGCAACAGGTTTCGTCCGAATCTGTTCAAGGTCATAAAGTCCATCTCCTTTGGCAGCCACATTAGGGTGAGACATGTGAAGGCCTCCTGTCAAGTGCACTCGCAGCATATAGGCCAACTACCCCGGGACTCAATGGCATTACAACGAACTCGAGCATTGCAGCCTATTCCCAGTGCTTCTCTGTTTTTGGATCCTATTAGGGTTGCTTTCTCACATATTCTACCCTTACATCATCGCTTTTCACTTACTTTACATGTAAAATAGATGCTGTTTTCTGTCTTCAGTTGTGTATTTCCAATGTGTTCTTATCCTCTGGACCAAACACACCATTTTTTTTACATCAGGAAGGGCATGCTGATTCCACATTAGTTGGCTCATACATAGGCTAAAATAGTCCTGGTAATGAGACTGGGCCTGGAACAGCTCCTGTGGACTGGCCTACTCAGCAAGCTAGGTGTGAGGAAGTGACAGAGATAGGACAGGGGTAAGGATGCAGGGGGACTAACTAATTAAAGGTTTCCGTTTTTGTTGATTTCACTGTGTGGTGCCTCTGCAGGACATCGACGTGGTGATAATTAATCAAAAGACTTCCAGATATTTACCAGATAGTGCTTGTCTGTTATTCTTTGAGTTGCACACTTGGCAGGCTTTTAGGACAGATGACTATTGTGAGTCAGAGGAGCCAACACTGGTAAAAATATCATGAAGGAGCAACACTACAGCACTATTGGAAAACACTCATGCTTGATATAGACTAAATCAAGATCTATAATAGCTCTTTGGGTAATATTTCTGCCCAGGGACACGAGATGCAAATAAGCTTGATAAATGAATAGATTTAGATCTAATCAACTCTACTAAGCTTTTGTGTGATCACAGTTTCATTATGAAAAATAGACCAGCTCTTGTTTTTTGACAGAGCAACCACTCTGCACCCTGCCTCTACTTCCCTTTTAGGTGAGTTTGGGGAGGTGTACAAGGGCCGTTTGAAGCTGCCTGGTAAAAGGGAAATCTATGTCGCCATCAAGACCCTGAAGGCGGGTTACGTCGAAAAGCAAAGACGGGACTTCCTGTCTGAGGCGTCAATCATGGGCCAGTTCGACCACCCCAACATTATCCGTCTGGAGGGTGTTGTCACAAAGAGCCGTCCTGTCATGATTGTCACAGAGTTTATGGAGAATGGCGCTCTCGACTCATTCCTCAGGGTGAGTAATTCTTCATGAAAACATGCATGTTCTATGTCATACAAAGTTGGACACAAGTGGTTGAATAGAAATGTTGCATTATGGGACTAATATGCTAATCGGAAATTAATCATTAAAGTCTCAGAAAAGGAGTTTGTGCATAGAATCTCCCCTAATACAAATTGGAATAGGCCGTCGTAATCTATCCATCATAGCAGCGTATATGTTTCATGACAATTACCATGATTTCTCTATCAGGCTTTAATTTCTCTATTACTGCCTGTAATTATTAATGGACTCTTCACCTTTTCTTTTAAAGTCAGGATCAAGCAGACATACAGCTCAATCAATATTCAACTTGCTTTTTTCCTTCTTCAATCGCATGGATTGGTGTTCTGTTCTACTTTGATCTAGGGTGGGTTTAAAGGGGCTCTTTGAAGTTGGCTTTGCTAACCGCCACATCCGACTTGTGTTTCCGTCGATCTCCTTCACCCTCTTATTTGTTATTGTGTTTCGGGGTCTTCAAAGCTCACTCTTCAGAGCATTCACATGGGGTAGAGGCACCATACGTGGATGTTGGAGAGATGGATGCCTTCATGCCTGAACGGAACAATGCTCTAACACATACAGTGAACAATAATGGGCTCAGGAGGCTAATGCATTTGGTCTATTTAATACAAGTATGCTATTCCTCTGGACATGAAAGCAAAGACTGCAAGTTATACGAGTTCAAATACTACGAGTTAAAAATTGCAATTTTGAATTGAGGAAGAACAAGTGCAATTTCTTTGACCTTGATAATAACTAATAGAGATTTACAACCTTGGAGCCTTGAGTTTTTGTGTCAACGTACCATCTATAAATCAGTAATGAACCAACATTATTAGTTAATTTTAATTAAAAGCTATTATGTTGGCATTTGCTGAAAAATATTTCTTATAAACAAAATATAAGATCTAGCTAACTGTTTCGTTTGGGTTCCTGTCTGTCCTCCAGCAAAATGATGGTCAGTTTACCGTGATCCAGTTGGTGGGAATGATGCGCGGGATCTCAGCAGGGATGAAGTACCTCTCAGAAATTAACTACGTCCATCGGGACCTGGCTGCTAGAAACATTTTGGTCAACAGCAACCTGGTGTGTAAGGTCTCCGACTTTGGCCTGTCACGCTACCTACAGGATGACACCTCTGATCCCAGCTATACCAGCTCTCTGGTGAGTACTTGCAAAGTTCATTTTGCTGCAGTTCCATGAATAACATTATAACTTATATTCACCAAGTGTTTATCTGCATGTGATTTATGTGAAGTCCAATCATTTTTCTTATTGACCTCTTCAGCAGTTGTAACATTCTAAAAACATCATCTACCATTTTAATCAGTTTTGCTTCTTTCTGACACAGTCTCATTCTTTTTGAAGGTCTTGGAAACCCTTCACCTTTTCAGTGCCTTTCATTTTTTATGAGCTGTCTCTATCTTCTCTCTCATTCTCCTTCCCTCCTCTTTCTTTACACTCTGCAAGTCACGCACCCGAGGTCTGTCACATCTTCATTAGTGTGGAGACAAGTCTCCTCTGGGAAGGCTCCTCTCTAGTTGACATGCCCAGAGTGCAGAGAAACCAAAGGGCATTGCGGCCTCTCAAACTGACAGCTCTCCCCCTCCCTCCTCTCTCTCTCTCTCACTCCTCATTCATTATTACTGGGGCATCATGGGAGGCTTTGGCTCCTCATTAACTCCTCCACACTACAGATCTGTAATTATTAGCAGCTGTCGTTAGTTCATCTTCTGCCTCTCCTCTTCCTAATTCAAAACACACTTTTACACTCTCACAAACACACGGCGCAGGTCATTAGGACTCCCGGCATGCCTGAGTGTGTGTGAGTGTTTTTATTTGAGTGTTTGTGAGTGTGTGTGTACGTGCGCACATAAACAGTGATGTGTACATGCATGTTTACCTATGTGTGGGTGGTTGTGCACAGAAACGTGCATGTGTCTGGTATCACCTCATTGACTCTGCTTTGAGACTTTTCTGCAAATTAACTTGTTTTATTGCTGTTGTGTTGTGAGTCGCTGCCTGCATTTTTAAGACAGTCAAGTATTCTGCAAGAAAACTGGTCTTTAGAGGACATAGACTTTGTTCCTTTTTTTAATGAGCCCAAATGTTTTTGTTTTTTTTTAAATCAGGAATTACAATAAACCTAAAATATAAAAAGACATACAATAGCCCTAATTTGCAAGTTGTGAGGCAGAGATTTGGAGTTAAGTCATATACTCATCAAGTTGGACCTGAGTCAGACTGGAGACTTAACTTTTGACTCAAAAGTGAAAAAAAGACTTGCAACTCCTGAACAAATGACAGATCACCAACTAATCACCAATGGCTCATGCTTAGCCTTAGACTCTTTGACCGTTTTGTCTTAAAAATACTTGATACCTTACCCCAAGCCCAAAGATTAGAAATAAATTAAAAGTGCGTCAGTTAATTTCCTCAATCAACTGACATTCAGATTGTTCAGTCTCAGCACATCAACACTTTCCCCAGATCCACATCAACACCCAATCAAGTTGTAGCAGAGAACCACAAAGAACTAATGTCACATTACTTAGCGCCAGCTGGGAAAACAACGACCTGCTGTAAAAAATTATAAAGAATGGCAAAAGTGGATAATACTTGTGCAGTTACAAAGTTAATGCTCCGCTAGCATTAATTTAAGAGCTCAGTAACTTTGCCAGCTAGAAAGTGAAACAAGGTTGGAAACTTTATTTTGCAATCCATTGTGTTTACCACAAACACTACTGCTGCTCACTTGTGACAAAACAATGACTTGGAACTAAATCTGTCTTGTTTGCCCCCAGTGGCTCCACACGATCTACTCTGCCCGTCTTGACAAGAAACAGATATATTCACTTGGTTCTTAAAACTGCCTCAGGGGCCCTGGACATGATTCACCCTGTATACCAAAGTGAATGTACAGCATGATGAAAGCTTTGTACATACTATGAATAAATATGAATACATTATGAATATATTATGCTATAAAAAGACCTATTTTCGGATAAGCTTCAAAAATATTACAACACATGCAAAAGTGAAGATCAAAAGCTCACAGTCAGCCTGTGAGTCAGTGCTGACCCAGGTACGAAAAAGAAAGTTCTTAAAATAATTTGTCTTTATCTAAATATAGGTAGAAAAAATACAACCATGTACTTTATATCAACTCTATTTCAACCTTTGTGGTAAAGCTCAGGTGCAAACTGCTCTCTGCCAAAACACGTTTCATTCACAAACACACATGCACAGTCTGCGTAAGCCTACAGGGAGGCTAGCGATTGGCAGGAGATGCTAGCCCAGGTGTGAACAGGAAGTGTCATAGGGACCAGAGGAGATATGACCTCACACTGGTTTGGCTGAGAGCTAATTGTTCCCCAGGAATAGCTTGCTTTGTATGCTGGACTCCTGCGGCGGAACCTTGCTGAATAGGTTTTTATTTGGCAACAAAGAGGAGCAGCTCGTCTGTTGTTTGTGCCGCTGAGCTTGCTAATAATACAGGGTGTAAAAGGTGGGGACAGGATTATAGATTCTACTCAGCATTTTGATGTTGTTTAATACAGACAGTCTCCTTCAGGGCATTTTCTGGACAGTTGATAGAGCAGGTGAGGTTTGAAGTCTGAACCTCTTTGATGGTTAAACACTCAAGGGCCTTTTTTTCAGGTAGAGATTTAAAAACAATCACGTCAAAGCTTTGGCTGTGTTTCACATCACTGCTGCCTTATTATCATAAGCATCCAGATAAAATCTTCAGTTCCATTGCTATTTTTATTCCTTCCAAATCAAGAGAGACGTTCCATTCATATCCCATCACATCCCTGGGCTTATTCCATCGATATGCCAGTCAAGTTTGTAAGTAAAAGTTAATGTTGTCAGCGAAGAAGCAGTCAAGTTCAGAAGTAATTGTATGGTAAAACTTTTTTTGTTCTTCAGGCTCTAGCAGTTCAAAATAGTAATTGGACACTTGGCTATTAAATGTTTCGTGGGCAGCTGGGTGTTGTTTTGGTGTTAGGTCATTCAGAAAAAACCCTCACACATGGCTCAGATTGACTGAGAGTTGAGTGTTAATACAAATGATGATGAGGGTGACATACAACCTTGTAGACGAGGAGGAGAAGAAAATTCCATTATGAGTAAGAATGAAGAAGAATGCTCTCCATGAAGTTGGCATTCAGGTATCTTTGCCAACGATGAAGAGAAGACTTCAGGACCATGACCACAGAGGATTCACCACAATATGTAAACCCCTGTTGAGCTTCAAAAGCAGAAAAGCCAGGCTGCACTTCACAAAGACACACAAAGAAACTGATAGAGGTCTGGATCTCTACCAGTTCTGAAAGTGCATGGAGTGATGTAACAAAAATAAACCCCAAGGAAACAGCGAAGAAAAAGGAAAACCTCATGTCCTAAAGCCATCACATGTTTTAAGCATTTATAGATACAAGTGGAACTGTAATACTGGTTTTTATTGATACGTTCACTGCTGACAAATAACATAAGTAATTCAGAGGTATAGATGAGCATGTGTGCTCAGATTCAGTCAAATGTATCTCCTTGGATGAAATTTCAGAATTTAGCAGAACACCAGAACTATTCAAGGCGAGAAGTTGGAAAATCCTCAACCAGCTGACTTGATCTCAGTCTGGCTGAGCAGCAGTCCATATAGTGAGGACCAGATTAAAGAGAGAGAGACCCCGTAACAAGCTGTAGCAGAGGGTGGCTGCAGCTAAACTCTGGGAGAGCATCACCAGGGATGATACAAAATGTCTGCTGTGTGTGTTTGAAAAACTTCAGGCATTCACTGACTGCAAAGAATTGCAAAAGATTTGGTTTCACGTAATGTGTATCTGTCAAATTACTTTTGAAACCCTTAAAAACTTTGCACAGTGTGTTTGAAGAGTTATATCTCCCGCAGTTCTTTTTACATTGACGAAAAAACCCACTCAAATTAAAGCTGAGACTTGAAACTTTAATGTACCCTAAATACATTACTTTATTTCAAATTGAATGTGCTGAAGCTCACAGCCTGAGGACCAAAAAATGTGTAATCAGCCTTGACTTTACATAAGAGCACAGTTCATAAAGATTTAGCTGACGTAACCACAAACCTTCGTGTCACTTGTCCTCATTTGAAGTTTTAGGAACAAGCAGACATGTGTAAGAAGGTATGTCGGGGTCCTCGGGTCCTGTACAGGATCCTATACTGTAATTAAGCTATGCCAGTGCCCTTAACTCCATGACCTCTTCTGCTGTGCCACTAACCAATCAGCGAGCAAGGCTGTTGTGGCAGACAAGGCCGAGGGAATCAGTGAAATTAAATTGCGCTGACGTGCAGTGATTTACATCACCATCGACCTCCTCCTCGAGCAACTTAATCACCTCTTTCCCTCTACTGCTTTTCTAATTTTTCCCTTCAATTCAAGGCACACCAATTACAGTGCCTGTGGTGTGATGCTGGATGTATGGTCGGGGGACACGCTGGTAATTGTGTAAACCCTGGATGTGGGTTCATTCTGGAGCAGTGTTTTGGAGGTTTCAGACAGAAGGAGGCTGTCCTCCCTCTCTGTTGGCTGCTCACCAAAAGTCAAGATTAATTAGACTCACAGGACAATGCTTTGACTGCTCTGGTCTTCCAAGGTGATGTCCACTAATTAACGTAAATACTATGATGACAGCGTGTTTTGTCTTTGACCCAGCATTCTTGTATTTGTATTTGCGTCACTTACTTATTACATACACATGGTTGCATAGTTCGAGAAATAGCCCAAAGGCACATGACAAGGCTAGGTAAGATGTGAGCGATCCTGATGACCTGACAAAAGATAGGATTGATTTTGGAACACTTGGCGGACTTCCATATCACTCTTTTTACTCACCATTTCATCTATCTAAGGAGCCACCCATCCATGCATCAATTCATCTATATTTCCCTTTGTCTCCTGCTGCTGTCCTCTTCTTTCCATTTCAAGGCTTTTCCCGCTGCAACACATATGCGCGTTGGAACGTCACGCTCAATGTAGATGTGACGAACGATGAGTCAAACTGTTGCAGCCGTGATGGGTCAGATGTTTTACTGTGAGTGAAAGTCAGAGATCTGGGCACTGGTCACTGTGGTTCAATGCACTGCATTTTGTGTCCAAAATTAGAGAGCAAGTGGCCAATAGGGAGGGTTGGGTGTGTGTGTGGATATGTTTGTGTGTGTCAAGTCTATAACAGCTTTCTATCATGCCAACCGGGCCCTAGAGACGAGGGCAGGTATGGGTCAAGAGTTTCTGCTTGTGCCTCAGCTGACGATGTGGAAAAGCTGTCATTGCCTTGCATGTCACGCAATATGTACTGTACGTTATGACTGAGTGGGCCTGTATGTATGTGGTGAGATGTATGTGTTTGTGTGCTGGGGTTCTGGATAAACACACATATGTCCCCTAGGTGTCTTTACCTGTGTGTGTGTGTGTGTGTGTGTGTGTGTGTGTGTGTTTTCGATTGTTTGTGTCACTGAGGCTGAGAGAGGTGGGGAGGCGAGGTCACACAGAGCCAGTAACAAAGCTCATCCGTCAAATCCCAGTGACCTGAGTGACATTCTCTCAGCTCCGCTCCAGTGCACGCACCACGCCGAATGCACTGTTGTTTCTGTCATTTGTCTGTTTTCTATTTGCATCCCCCATTCCACCCCTCTCTTTCTGGCTTCAGGCCCATGTACTTTTTTGGGCTTGTCTGTTGAACTTGCTGTGAAATATTTATGCACTGCACTGCGAGTTAAGGGGACAGGGTCTCAGAGTAAACAAGAAGTGTAATGGGAACGCGTCCATGTGAACCTGGCCAAAAAACAAACAAATGGACTTTCCTTCCTTTTTTCCCCCTGAGATTTCAGTTATAGTCAAACATAAACATAAAGTTCACAATAAATCACATGGCAATTTCACACTTTCCCGTCCATAATAATAGCTGCCTGCTTCAGTCTTTGTTATATCAAAATATTTCATTTCTTGGTGAAGAGAAGAACCACCAGATTCTCTTTGATGCAGTCTCCTGCAGTAATTCAACAACTAGGTTCACTGTAAGCTATTTCTGATGATCAAAAACAACTTCTACTACTGACAATCCAAAATAAATGTCTTGTGTTTGTATTATAGTGTTGAAACAACAGAAAATCACGTTAATGTTTTCTCTGATATCTCCAAACGTTGACGGCTGGATCTGAATTATATCACTCGTAAGTGATCTGCAGAAGAAATATCCTGCTGTTTACAACTTTTCTCTTTTATCTTGATTTCTTTTTACTAGTAGAGCATCTACATAAGTTCAAACTCTCCTACACAGATCCTCACTTCCACAGCCTGAATTAAGTGTGAGTCACAAGTGCACTGACCAAGTATGATCCCCAGTCCGCTTCCCATTTAAGTACCAAACTGGAGATTCTGCTGCTGGGAATTTAACCCCATTAACACTCATTCAAAACTGCAGCAAAATCCTCAACATCACAACTCACCCTTCAGTTTTTAAATATATATTAGAGTTTTGAATTTGAAACCAATTAAGATGTTTGCTAATTTATTCATATGGTTGACTTTAATTTGCTCAGTCTCAAGATAAATGATGCTGCAGAAAATATCCAGGAATTGAAATGGATATGGAGGATGTTACAGGTTCTGGAAAAAAAGAAAGAACATTATCCATACTTGGTCCCTGCATCAGAGAGAGCCTCCACCCACATGACCCCACCTTGATTTATACCTTCTGTCATGTTTGCCAGAGGCAGTTTAAGGTGAGCATTGATTAGCCATCTGTGGCCGTTGGACTGCATTTGCATCGAAGCAGGATTCACAATGAAGTTGTTTGTGTACAATTCTCTGTTGGTGAGACTGTATCTCAATAAAAAAACA